CCGTAGTGCAACGGGGTTCCGGCCAATCCACGATGGCTTGGATCTTGTCCGCTAAGGGACGAATGCCTTTCAGCGTGACAAAATGGCCCAAGTACTCAAGCTCTTGCCTGGCAAATTCGCACTTGTCGAGATTCGCTTTGTACTTGGCTAGTCGCAAACGATTCAAAACAACGTGAAGGTGTACGATGTGCTCGTCCAACGTCCTACTATAAACCAAGATACCGGTCTTGAGGCTGGATTTCAATCTGGTGGTAACCTGACTTCAAATCCAACTTGGAGAAGTACGTCGCGCCGCCTAACCGCTCAAGGAGATCATCAATCCGAGGGAGAGGGCCGGCGTTCTTTACGGTTTGTGCGTTAAGTTTCCGATAGTCGATGCATAACCGTAGATCTTTGTTCTTCTTCCGGACGAAGAGAACAGGTGCTCTGTATGGCAAGCAACTAGGGCGAATCCAACCCTTGTTGAGAAGATCATCGAGTTGTGCGCGAAGCACCTCGAGTTCCTCTTCGCTCATGCGGTAGATACATCCACGCGGAGGGACGGCGCCAGCCTCGAGAGTGATCCCGTGACGTATGGGCCGATCCGAAACCGTTCCGGTGGGAGCCTCGAAGACGTCTCTATACTCGTCCAAGAGGTGAGAAATGCGTGGGTCCGGCGGTAACGCAGCTGGTCCGTCCGGGGAGGGAAGAGCATGCAAGAATACAAGACCCATCTCCTCGACGTCATTCCGAGCAATGGCGTCGGCGCAACGGAAACCACGTGACAAGCAATCGAAGTGTGAGGGGTCGCGACCGTACATGGGACTAACACTCCGTTCTGATCACGGATGTGAACGGCTCGGTCATGGAAGTTCACCGGATGATCGGCGCTACGCAACCAAGACATGCCCAGAATCATGTCGAACTTGGTGTCGAGGATGTCAAAAGACACCGGCTCGCACGCAAGTGGCGCAAAGTAGACCGGAACGCCGTCAACGCATCGGTCCATTGACTTTTGCGTGCGGCCGTCCGCGAGTGTAACTTGCGTAGGTTGCGTCTTTCTTCGAACGAGCGGGCCAAGACCTGCGCGGGCCATAAAGGCTTGACTCATGAAGTTGCGAGACGCTCCGCAATCAATCAAGGCACTACAGGTTGCCTTTCCGATTTGAATGCGGATATAGAGCAAAGGTGCGTCGGTTTCAGCGTACCTTTGGGTGGCGTGCTCGCGGTCGATCTTCGCAAGATAGGAGCGGAGATCGGCAACCGCTACCCCGTCGTCCGTCATCGGAGCTGGTACTGTAGTGTGCAAGTAGAAGCGTAGATTTGCCATCAAGGCGTTGCAATGCGGCCTTGGCAAGGTTCCGGTCGAGGGTAGAGGCATCCAGGCGAAGTCCTCTCTCGTGAGCGGGTCAAGCTCCTCAAGTCTTGACCACGCCATCGAGTCCTCGGAAATCAGTGGCGAACTGACCGGATCACTTGCCGACGGTGTACAGGTTGCGCATACGCTAGCTAAGTGCATGTGGCTTGGCTGGTCTAATGGTGGTACCAGCTGGGCGGCATAATCCTCGTAAAGCACGAGGATCAGCGACTAACGCATGTTCCCTGGTAGTGACATCGATTGCTAGCAAGGCAACCGGGTCCGGCGGAGTGAGGAGAGACGTCGCCCCTCTCCTTGCGTAACTCAGTTTCCCGAGTTGGCTGGACGGGGTACGCGTGCCTTGCCCTTGTCCGGGCATTGTGCGGTAGTGTGTACTACACTGTTGCACCATAGGCAGTATGCGTACTTTTGACGAAGGTCATAGACCTCCTTGGTGATCTTATAAGCCCTCCATGGCTTCTGCCCAGCTCCCGTCGCCGCTGTCTCTTGTGTCGCCTTGTTCTTGCGAACTCTCTT